GGAAATAAGGAAGACAATGAGAAGAAGGGAAGGAAGGAAGGAAGGAACCTTAGGTTGAAATGACGGGGTCCTTGATGCTCTCTTAAATTGCTTGTTTTCTTCCAGACGTTTTATTACCCTAACTAGCCAACATCATCAGTGCTAGTAAGGAGAGCTGTTTGCTTTCAGCTAGTACTCCTTACTAGCACTGATGATGTTACCTAGTTAGGTCATGAAACGTCTGCCGGAAAACTAGCTAGCTCAGAGAGCATCAAGCACCCCTCAAGTCAACCCTGAGCCACAAATAGTCTTTATTCAGCCCAAAATTTATGTTGCTAAGGGAGATGTTTGTTAAGTGAGCTTTGCCTCATTTTACGTCCTTTCTTGCCTCCGTTGTTAAGTGAATCACTGCCCTGGATAAGTGAGTGAGCCGGTTGTTAAGTGAATCTGGCTCCCTCCCATTGATTTTGCTTGTCGCAAAAGGGGATCACATGACCTTGGGACCCAGCACCGGTCATAAGTATGAGTCAGTTGCCAAGCATCTGAATTCTGATCACATTGTCCTGGGGATGTTGCAAAGGTCATAACTGTGAAAAACAATCATAAATCACTGGGTGATTTATGGGTGCCCAAGCTTTCTATTTATTTTAAGTTCCCCCTGAAAGCACTTAAACCCGGCCTAACTATTTTTAAAAGCCATCTGTTTCCAAGAATGTGGAGGTTGCAAAATCTCTTATCCCTGGGATTTGCGACTCTCTCCATTCGGATTAATCGATTTTGCCATTTAATCAAAGGCTAATACTGTGATAAACGGCAGGTGGGTGGGAATTCTAAGCATCTCAGCCTCTGGCTATAAAAGGAGAAAAATGTTGCTAGTCCTCAGGGGTGAGAAAGTGCGTAAACAGAGCTGAAATAAATAATGCAAAAAAAACATAAAACAAAACCTAGTTTGTTTTCAGCCTGAAACTCCTAAAAGGAAATAGTTTTAATTAAAGGGAATTGTTTAACCTAAGACCACTAGGGGGCAGCTTCTGCGAACGGAGCCTTAGCACCATCATAGCACCATTAATTCTTATCACATTTAATTTAACACACGCACAAACACACTGCCAGATAGACTTAGTGAGGCCGAATTCAAAACTGAGCTTTGGTTCCAAGCCTTCGCAGGACCTGAAACCTTTCCCAAAGACGTCGCAAACCAGGATTCGTGGTTTGTTGATTTCTACGTTCTGCCGCAGCCGAGGCCAGTCTGATTCATCCTGGCTTAGCAGAATAGCTGGACCGTGTCAAGGAGGCTTCGTCCGGCATGTAGCTGAGCTGTTTGTCACCCAGTTTTTGGATCGGAGTCCACAGTAGCTGGCATTTCAGAAATGAGCCCAACTCAGGATGATGGTCCCACTTTAAATCCCTTTAACTACGGTTAGCCACGTTGCCCGGATGAGCCCTTTCGATCCCCCCAGCAGCTGCTGGCTGGGCACAATCCAGCACCTTTGCTGGCTTCTTCCTTACGGTTACGTGCATTGTTTTTATTGAATTTTTAAAGTTCACGTCGGTTGTCTGAAATCGGAAGAATAAATAAATGAACGGTGACAAGGTTTGGTGTGTGTGTGAGTGAGTGAGTGAGTGAATATTTGGCAGGGGTCCTGGAACTGCCGCGCAGTTTTTACTATTTCTTGTTCTCGGCCTTTCGCCCCATATGACCCCCCCCCTACCCGCTTTTCAACACCCCACCGTGGCATGTGTCTCTTAATTAAGGTATGGAGTTATCCACACGTTGGGCCCTATTTTTAATCTTGGGGAAATGCCAGAAGGGTTGTGTGATGGGAAGAAAGTGTTGGGTTAGTGACTGACCTCCTTCCTCCCCTGTGATCTATTAGCGGGGTTTATCCCCCCCCCCAGCCCCAAACCCCATCTGCACCCCGTTTAATAAAAGCCCCCAATGCTTTTTTTCCCCCAAAAACACGTTTGTTAAATAACACGGATAAAAGATGAATCCAGAGAAGGTTGCAAACAGAAAGCGGGGTGCAAGGGGGTCTTTGTAAGGTAGAGTGCTTCTGGAGGTGGAGGTTCTGTTCCTTTGTACCCTAGGAGAAGATAAAAGACCCCTCCCCGATGCTCCCAGCAGACTGACAGCTGGGGAGGGGGGGAAGAGAGAGACAAAGAAGGAATTAGAGGAGGAGGGGGATGCAATGTTTTGGTGGCAGCTTTGCCTGCTGCTGCTAGAAAGAAACCAAATCTATGGCTGGGGATGATGGCAGTTGTAGTTCCCATGGAATCAGAAGAGTTTTGTTTTTTTTTAAAAAGGAAAAGACCCTTTAAGTTAGAAAGCCCGCCCCTCCCCGTCCTGTTCTGCATTTGGGGATGATCCAGGGAATTTGAAAGAAGAAAAGGCTTAGAGAGGAAGGCCTTTAAAGACTGGTGGGCAGGCGGAGCTCTCTGCAGCTGCTCAGAGGCACTGAGGCTTGCTTCTGCCTTCAGAGCTGAGGGTCGGGCCGCGTCCCTGGCTGACTCCTGCCATCCTTTCCACACACACCCCTCCCCAAGGCGGGGCCAGCAAGGACTGGCTTGGAGCAGCCGGTGGGGCGCACAGCTGCTGCGTCGGGACCAGAGCAGGTTGAGGGAGCCGTGTTGCGCCTGAGGGAAGATGCTGCGCGATCGGACGCTTCGGCTGCAGTTCGGCCACCGCCTGGAGGCGGTCTGCGTGCTGGGCACCCGGCTGTCGGTGGACGTCTTCGGGTGAGCAAGAGGCAGATCCCTCTTTGCAAAAAAAAACCCCACAACCCCTTCCTCTCAGTTCAGCCCCAGCCCTTCCCTCCCAGGGCTGCAGACCCCGCTCCCTGTTTTGGCGTTAAATGTGCATCCTTCAGGGGGGAAAGGGGGGGGGTTCCTTCCCCCTATAAACATCACCCCCTTCCTTTCCCTTCCCCAGTTTGCAATCCTTCAAGATTGCAACCCTTCCCCATCTTACATCCACAAGTTTAGCTGCCCCTCGGCGCCTTAAAAGTATTCGGAGCAATTCCCGCTTCTTCGCTGCTGCTTTTCCTGAGACAGTCAAACAGGTTTGCTTTACCTGCACCTCCCAAATTTATTTCTTTAATGGAGATATTGACTTCAGGGGTGAAGCAGGCAGCCGGTGAGGCGGTGGCACCAAGGGAGAACTTGTCCGCAAGCTCCGTCCCTTTCACAGAATCTTTCTTGCCGGGTGACTGGCATCCCGCTCCAAATCTTTAAGCGGCACTTGTTAGCTAGCCTGGCATGGCTAAACGGGCACTTGGCAGTTTCCACGCAGCCCTCCCTCGGATCTGAGGAGACCAGGGTGAGTCAAGCTGGTTAAAGAACAGCACCTGTTTGGGGGGGGAATAAATGTCATTCCGGGAACCGAAAGCTTGTTGGGCGGTGAGATCCTCTTGCAGAACCTTCATCTGGAGAACAGAAGAAGTCAACTTCTGCTCCAGAGAGGACCTTGCTTGGTGCCAAGTTGAAAGAAGAAGACCACCCAGGACCAGGGCTGGGATTCTACCAGTTCGCACCTATTCTCTAGAACCAGTTGTTTACATTCTAAGCAGTTTGGAGAACCGATTGTTAGAAGAAATTACAGGGCTAATCCTGTAAGGAAGGCAGGAAGGAAACATTCTGGTGTTGCTTACAGAAACTGCCTCTCCGTTAACCCTGATTACATTCTTAGCAAGACCAGACTTCCTGTCTCTGGAACTTCTCTGGAGTTTTCTTTCCCTCTTTTGCTCGTCCTTTGCTTGTGTGGAGGGGCCGTTCAAAGTTACAACGGCACTGAAAAAAGTGACTTATGACCCTTTTTCACACTTACGACTGCTGCAGCATCCGCGCAGTCATGAGAAGCCAGGCGAGGAGATGCGTGCCTCGATGTGAGTGATGTTGAGTTGGCCACGCCCAGCCCATAACATGACCACCAAGCCACGTCCACCCAGTCACATGACCACCAAGCCACGCCCACCACCTAAGCCACGCCCACAGAACCGGTTGTTAAGAAAAATTGAATCCCACCCTTGCCTGGGACCCTCTTCTGAAGGCTGCTTATAAAAGAGGAAGAATGAAGAAGGTCACTAGGAGGAACTGAGGTTTCCCAGCCTTGGTTGCTCAGGTCGGAAGAAGAACCGTCTCAGATATCCTGCAATCAACGCCCCGTCGGAAAGGGAGACACAACTTGGACTTGACAATCCTTATCTTTCTCCTTTTTGTCCGGCTTCTTGGGAAGAAACAACGGGCAATCTGCACATGCCCAGACGCCTCTTGGTTGACCTTCCTTTGAAAATGTTCCAAGCCTGAACCTCCAACCACTTTAATCTTGGGGAGGCGCCAGGGGCAAGTCGTTAGTATTTTGGATGCCTCCGTTGGGAGACAGAGAGAATAGGCTGCCGGCCGTGCGGGAAAATGCTTATTTATGGTGGATTGTCCTTTGTTCATTTATCCGAAGAGGCTGCCTGCCAAGACATTCTGGGTGCCACGGTCTTGCTCCTATTGTGTCCCTGTTTTGTTGTTTGTTTTAAACAAAGCTTGCAAAGATGAGTTATGTCCGAGGGCGATTTAGTACTTTCTGTGCAGAATAATAACATCCCCCCGCCGCCCCATCCAGCTTCGCTATCTTCAACCTTCTCGGTCCCTTTCGTTTATTTATCTAGAATTAAGTCTTCTTGCACCGAACTGGTTCGTCAAGCAGCCCCTCTGGGCTTAGCTAGGGGTGCAAACTGGGATTTAAGATCTTCCAAGGTCAAGAATAAATCCGAAAAATGTTGGAAATGTCATCAGACACCTGGCTCATATTACCATATGTGGTGGACTTGTGCGGACGCTAGAAAATATTGGACTGAAATCCACACGTGGTTGGAAAAAATGACAAAAAAGCATATAGACTTGAAACCAGAGATATTTTTATTGGGAATCTTACCTGAAACATATAGTAAAGAATTGAAATACCTGATTGTAAATGTATTAACAGCGGCTAGGATTATATTTGCTAAAAACTGGAAAAATGAGAAAATACCATCGCAGGAGGAAATCATTAAGAAAATATTGGATTGTGCTGAAATGAGTAGATTGACAGTTGAAATTAGAGAACAAGAGGATAAACAATTTTATAAAATTTGGGACCTTTTCTATCAATGGTTACATAATAAAATACAACAATGAAACATGTAGATTTTTAGAAAATAATAAATATATAAAGATGTAGGTATAATAAAAAAGAAGTACATCTTTATATATTTATTATTTTCTAAAAATCTACATATTTCATTGTTGTATTTTATTATCTAACCATTGATAGAAAAGGTCCCAAATTTTATAAAATTGTTTATCCTCTTGTTTTTAGGATAGATTTCGGAGGATAATATGAATCTGTTATAAAAGAAACTAAGTAAATTATGGTTGTCTCGTAAAATATGAATGAATAAAACTATAGTCAAATGATTGATTAATAATGATACTAGGGTATTCAATTTTTGATTGATAATATGAGCTATTATGCAATGTAACTGTAACTGAAGACTACGAAATGGATGCACAAAAAAATTTGTAAACCAACCGGCACACGGCTTGTATACTTATGGAAGAAAGTTTGATGTTTTTATGTTTTGTTTGTTTCTGTTTGTTTTTAACAACCAATAAAATTTACACGCACACAAAAAAAAGATCTTCCAAGAAACGGACGGGATGAGGTTTGCAAGCAGCTCTGTTTTCCCAACTGCCACCATAAAGGGCATGTCTGGCACTGTATTTAAAAATAGATGTGTGAGAGGTAAGATCCAGTGTGCCAGCTCAGCCATCTTCGGCTTGGCGCCTTGCTAGCATCCTGCCACCAACTGTTAGGGTGGAGGGAAAGGAGAGTAAACGCGTAATAAACATGCATAGAGCAGATATGGGAAATTGGGAAGAGGTGCTGACATCTTGACGGAGACCAGGGATACACGGAAGCAACCTGTGCCAGGCCACGAAGCTTGGAAATGGAATGTGGACTGCTCCAACGCACCTGAGAGGTTCTCAAAACACCTATGGGGCTTGCCGTTGGCCGAAGCTGAATTGGTGAAGCGGGGGAGGGCCGGGATGAAGGGGAAAAGTTTGTAACTTTTTGCGCGGGAACTTGAGTTCTAGCTTGCTTTTACTGCAGCCAGTAGGCCTTAGTAAAAGAACTGATCACTTCAACCAAGTGGAGTCGAGGGTCTTTCTTTGCTAGAGACCTAGCTGTGGCAGGTCTGACACCGTGTCTTTTTAATGCAATTGTGCGGAGATCGGTCTAATGGAGAAATAGAGAAGCACCAAGTACAGGTCGTCCTTGACTAAGAACACTTTGTTTAGTGACCGTTCATGGCACTGAAAAAAGCGACTCACGACCATTTCTCACACTTATGACCATGGCAGCCTCTCCATGGTCATGTCATTTACATTCAGGTGCTATGTCCCCGGATCATGCGATCCTCTTTTGGAACCTTCTGAATAAGCAAAGTCAAGGGAGAAGGCCGACTCATTTAACAACTGTATTACAGATAGTCCTCGACTTACAACCGCAGTTGAGCCCAACTTTTCTGTTGTTAAGTGAGACATTTGTTAAGTGAGTTTTGACTTTACTGGTCAGAAGGTCGCAAAAGGGGATCCCAGGACAATGAAACCTGTCATAAATATGAACCAGTTGCCAATCATCTGAATTCTGATCACAGGGATGTTGCAAAGGTTGTAACTGCGAAAAATGGTCCTAAGGCACTTTTTTCAGTGCTGTTATAACTTTGAACGGTCGCTAAACAAACTGTTGTAAGTTGAGGACTACCTGTCCTAATTTAAAACAGTTGCAGTGATTCACTTAATCACTGTGGCAAGAGAGTTTGTAAAATGGGGCAAAGCCCACTTTACAAATTTCTCGCTGAGCAACATAAATTTTGGGCTCCGTTGTGGACATAAGACGAGGACTGCCTGAAGTCTTTGATATCTCGGAACTGCAGCCCATCGGGCATAGAGACTGCATTTCTACTTGGCCTCATCCCAGGTAGTGATCTTGGCACGACAACAGCTGGATAGCGTCGCCTTGTTTAGGTATCACAATATTTTGTTTTGTGGGCCTGCTGAATGTTGTGGTTCGCCGGCAGCAGGTGTGGACGGCTGAGGCCTTGGAGAGCGAGGACTCAGACGAGGGGCCTGGATGTGATGCAGGGGTGGGGCCAGGACCATCAGGGAGTGGAGATTGTGGAGGCTGGCAGCAGTGAGGAAGAGGCCCCCGAGGAGCCTGTGCTCAGTGCACATGGGCGCAGGGCTGCTCGAAGGAAAGACCAGTTGCAGCAGCACGGGTGACTCAGGAGTAAGGCTGCAAGGTAATGGCCCCTCCCTCAAGAGGTAAAAGCCAGCTGAGAAACCGGAGTTCTTTGCAGGAAGCAAAGAAGTTTTTGCATTCAAGCCTTGTGCACATTCGGACTATCTTAGTTTGTGTTTGGAGACTTTTTGTGTTTGAAATATTTCTTGGCAACTTTATCTAGTGTTCTTGGCAGCCTTGCACCACCTTGGCAAGGCTCCTTCTTATCAGAGACAATTAGTTTGAAACAGCCTTTTAACCGCGAAGGAACGGAATTCGTAAAGAATCATTAAAAGGTTTTGCTGTTACCTCTGCTTCATGTTGGTTTCCTTGGAACAAGGTTTGGGTCAGAACATTGACAGAGTCTTTTTCCTCTTCTTCGTCTTCTCGCCTTCCAGGGCCGCTCCACCCGAAGCGGTGAATTTCAGTGTGAAACATTCACAAGACGTCAGTGTTGAAGTCATAAGCCACGATCAGTCGGACTTGGCCCCCGCCAACGGAGCTAAACAATGGCTGCTGGATCCCACCACATTCCTGCAGATCCAGATGACCCAGCCTAGCGTGGAGACCAACGATAGCAAAGTAAGATCCTTTCCCAACCATGGTATGTCTGGATTATTAGTTTAAACGGGGTCATAACATAACAGTTTGTTCAGTGACTGTTCAAAGTTACCATGGCACCGAAAATAGTAACTTGGGACCGTTTTTCACACTTACGACCATGGCAGTATCCCCATGGCCCTATGATATACATTCAGACGCTTGGCAATCGACTCATATTTATGACGGTCACACTGTCCTGGGGTTGGGCAATCCCGTTTTTCGAACTTCTGACCAGCCAAGTCAATGGGGAAGCCGGATTCATTTAACGAACATATTACTAGCTTACTTATCCACTGCAGGTGTTCACTTAACAGCTCTGGACAGGAAGGTCGTTAAAAAGAGGCAAACTCACTTTACAAACTCGCTTAGCAACAGGAATTTGGAGCTCAATTGCGGTTGTAAGTCAAGGACTAGCTGTATCACATGGACTCCAGGAAGCTGTTCCTGGATCTTGGTGGAATCTCTTCCCCAGGAGTTTGCAAGGACAGGACCACTAAACCGCATGCGGTTTTAAGAAGACTTTTAAAAAGTTTATGCTTTTATTATTCATTCGATTGTTTTATCATAGTTGTGTGATTGTGCTGGTCCGTGCACAGAAATTACCCATCCTGATGTAAGAGGGCACATGATTCTGGAGCAGAGTTTTTTTTTAATGTCCAAAAGGTGCTTTTTCAAGCGGAAACTGGACTTTCTGGTTTGTGCTGGTTAGACAGTACATAGTGTGCTGGTTAGACAGCATAGTTAGTTGGGAATGGGAGCTGTCCCCTTAAGGGAATGCCTTATGGGAGATGTAGTTCATGTCATGTGGTCATATCTATAATCCTGATTGGCCACTGAATTGACCTCTGGTTGGGTTGGGGGGAGTTTTGGTCATTCTTACCTGGACCCCAACATCGTGCTGGAGTTTTCCCTTGCTATATCATTATGGGATGGAGATAACCCTATTTTCACACTATGAAGACGACAACGCAAAAGATGGCACATTAGATGAGTCTCAGCATAACTGTGAGTATTGAGGATGCCTGATATAATCCAATAAAGTAACTTTGTATGGAAGCCTTTGTAGTGTTGAGAGGCTTATATCCTAGGAATTTTGAGAATGTAAGATTACTTGGGACAAGAAATGGTTTTTCTCTGAACATGTTTCGTTTCTCATCCAAGAAGCTTCTTCAGCTCTGGACTAGGAGAAGAACCGAAGAAGCTTCTTGGATGAAAAGCGAAACGTCTTCAAAGCAAAACCAGAAAGTCTACTTGCCTGTTGAAAAAAAAAATCACCTTTGGCACAACCAAGACCTGGATGACTGAGAATCTCCACAGACATTTCTCTGTTAATGTTTTAACCTCGTTCTTCCTTCTTCCTCTCTAGGTAACCGTAGGATATTATGGAGAGAATGACAAAAATCCTATAAATCAGGCTGGCATTTTTCTAACTGGCATTGGTGAGAGTCTTCCTGTTCCCTTTCTTTGGTTCTGTCTGGAAATCGTCTTATTCCCTCGCAGAGTATTATTAGAGCTTTAATTTTAAAAGCCACCTGAAGTGGAGCAGAGGGCCTTCCTTTCCTTACAGATCAACAAGCTGCTCTCTGCTCTTAAATTATCTCCAATTAGTAAAATATTCTGGGCCCCTTGGATTTAAAAAAAGCGTCTTCATGTTGAGTTCGGCGGGCGGTTTGCTCTAGTTTGTTCTTTCAATCTTTGAAGCCGCCAAATCTTTCCCTTTCTAGGAATCTCCTTGGATGTCGACGCCGACCACGATGGTGTGGTGGAGAAGAACAACCCAAAGAAGGTAGCGTCCAGATTCCAAATCTTTCTTGGTCAGAAATGTCTCTGGAATAGTCCTTTAGGAGAGATTCTTGGCTTACCTGGCCCTTCAAAGGGTGACACACCTGTAGGTTTGTATTTCACAAGCCCAGGTGTGAAACGGTTAATATTTCTATCCAATGGAGCCGAGCGAGGACTTCTCCCCCCCCAAAAAAATTGTTGCATGCTTACTCAAGTTTAAATTGAAAATTACATCCCTGATGCTTTGTGAGTGTTTAGATTCCTTTTTGTGGGGTCAGAGGTGTCCTCTACCACTGATTTTAATTAAGAGGCAAAATTTTAGCCAACACTCTGTTTTTTTTTCGGCAAACGGTATAATTTGCCTGCTCTTTCTCCGTCCCTGGGGGTTCACAGCACCTTCCTCTCATTTTGGTTCCTGGAGGTGTGTGCAGTTTTGTGAGATGGGTGGGCCTGAGGTTAGGGTCCCTGGTCCAGAGGAACCACCCCCCACCCAGCTTCCCAAAAAACTTTATCCGCAAGCAGGAAGCCTTAGGGGGACAGGTTCAGCTGGGGTCATCCTTCCCAGCCTGCAAGGCATTCAGACCAGGCCTCACCCACTTCTTGGCAAAGGTGCCTGTTTGGTCCCTTGTGTGTAATTTGGCATCGTTCCCCAAGGCGACTCCAGGTTCCCCCTGCTGAGACAGTTATTTCCCTCGGTTGGGTTACTGTTCTCTCTCTCTCAAATCTCTCTTTTGGGGGGGGGGGGGGGGCTAAGATACCTGCAGAAGCTGAAGCAGAAAGGGGCAACGCTCCCCTTACCTGGTCTCCAGGTATATCCAGACCAGGAGGATAGAGAGCCAGGGAGATGAGTCACCTGTATAGAAATTAGATTAATAAATAAATACGGAATTCAGGAAGTCTTCTGAACATTTTTACACCTTATCTAATATTTGGAAGTGGCTCAGGCAAGCGCCTCCCGATAAGGAAGAGGAAGATGAGGAAATGATGTATTTATTCATTGTTAATGTTTATTAAATTTCTACACTACCCCCGTCTCACCTAAGTGACTCCGGGAGGTTCAGAATAGCATCATAAAAACCGCATAATTGCAAAACATAAAAGCCTAGCTTAAAAAGGGGGAGTTTAAATTGAACAAGAATTTACACGTACAAATAAATTGGGAAATGCACAATATTAAGACTTGCAAGATGGGTAGAATCTAGAACAGCTCCACGAAAGTAGTTTTAACTTTCCTGTGGAATTGATGGCCTGGGCTGGTTTAGTCGTGGGGCTGATAAGGTGGGCAAGGACTGGATATAGATAGAATAACTGATTGTATGCAAGACGGTTTCCTTAAATTTTGGGCCTTTTCCCGTGGCTCTGGAGCACACCAAGTGTTGGAAACATGACTTCCTAATGACAATGTGAATTCTTTTAATGTTGACCATGAATGGAATCCAGAGGAATCTTTCTAAATCTTTCTTGGCTCATCTCTCATGTCGTAGATAAATATCTTTTGCCCGAATCTACCTGCTTAAAGGTGAAATTCTGCCCTTCTAGGCTACGTGGACCTGGGGCCCTGACGGCCAGGGTGCTATCCTGCTGGTTAACTGTGACAAAGAAAATCCATTCAGCAGCACGGAGGACTGTCAGGATGAGAAAATATTTTCCAAGGAAGGTACAATACGATGGATCTCTCTGGGGCCGTTCTGGAAACTGAAAAGCTGATAGAAATACATTTTGCAGATCAGCCTCTACTGCACAACACGTGAAATATGGTTCTAAATGCAGCCAGATGTTTTCCGGTCACAAGCTTAACAAGGAGAAGAAAAATGGGTTTGAGTGTAAAGCCCTTGTAATTTAGTAAGACGAAAAAGGTCAACTTTAAAGCAGGAGCCCTAATGCCGACACGGTCGTATTACATTTCAAAATAAAGTCACGCACATCCCTTAATTAAAAAGAAAAAAAGAAACAGGCTTTAGCAAGTGAGTAAAACGGCCTTGCGATGTGTGTTGTAAAGAAATCGACAGGAAAAATGGTTTGTGTCTTAAGCAGAAAACTTGAATTCTTGTAAGGAAGCTGCAATAAAAACAAAGATTTGACAAACTTATAGAAGAGGCCAGCCCTGAATTAGAGGAAGGGGTGGTGATATCTTAGAAAAGCTAAATGGAACCAGGAGTTGGGGCATGGGGGGAAATGCCATCCTGAGTCCCTGTTCTGACCCAAACCTGGGTCCAAGAGAGCAAACACAAGACAAAGGCAGCAGCCCCCCTCTTTAAGGTTTCATCCACGAATTCTGTTCCTTCATAGATAAAAGGCTGCTTCCAACTAATTAGCTCCGACAAGAAAGAGCCTTGGCAAGTTGTTTGTCAAGGCTGCCAAAAACCCACAGATAAGAACTAATTTACAAGATTCACGAACTAAGATGTCCACCAGTTGAGCTTCAGAGCTTCTTTGCTGTCTGCAAAGAACGCTTTTCCAAACCTGGCTTTTTATCCTCTTGAGGGAGGGGGCCATTACCTTGCAGCCTTACTCCCGAGTTGCCAGTGCTGCTGTAATTGTTCTTTCCTCTGAGTAATCCTTCGTGCATATGTACTTGACACAGGCTCCTCGGGAACCTCCTCATCGCTGCTGCCAGCCCCCACCATCTCTGAAGGCAGCAGTCCACTCCCTAATGGTCTTGGCCCCTCATCTGAGTCCTCGCTCTCCTCCGCCATCCCCACCTGCTGCCGGTTAACCACAACAGTCCCTGGCGTATCCTGCCTGAAGCCTTTGAAAATTGGGCTGCGTGACTCCCATCAGGCCACGTATTGAGTCTCCCCCCAAGGGTTTTTTCATGTGTTTTGAACCAAAAAGAATACAGGTAGTCACGTTGGAGCCCAACATTACCCTTCCTAAGCGAGACATTTTACGCCCTTTCTCGCCTCCGCTGTTAGTGGTTAAGTGGCTTCCCCGTGGATGTGGCTTGTCAGAAGGGATCACGTGACCCTAGGACACTGCGACCGTCATAAATACGTTGCCGAGCGGCTGAATTTTGATCCTGCGAATGCTGCAATGATCGTCAATATGAAAAACAGTCCTAAGTCACATTTTTTTCAGTGCTGTCGTTGTAACTTTAAATTGTTGTTAAGTCGAGGCCTACCTGTATGGGAAACAGCAAAGCTCAAAGGGGCAGCCGGATTCAGACAGAATTGGAGGTTGGCAGAAGCTAAGCCACAAACTGGAGGCTTTCAAGAATAGACTGGACAATCCTTTGAGTGGTGCAGGAAGGGGGCTTCTTACACCAAGATGGTTTCCTGCCTTGAGGAGGGGGTTGGATGAGAACAGGGGAGGGGTGTTGGATGAGAACAACCTGCCTTGAGGAGGGGGTTGGATGAGAACAACCTTTTGGACCTCAGGGACCACCAAACTCATAATTTTAAATCCCAGGGACCACTAACTGGTTCTGTGGGCATGGACTAATTTGTGGGTGTGTCTTGGTGGTCATGTGACTGGCTGAGCATGGCTTGTATGTAAATATTATAAATATTTATATAAATATTGAATTTTTTATTAAAAAAAGAACAGCTTTTACCCAAAATCAGGCAAAGCAGGCAAATTGAGTTGCTTGCAGAATCATTCAGTGATCTATCTATCTGCCATCGGCTAGCTCAGTCTGTCACATAAAATTTGCTGGCAAGCAAACTCACAAAATTAACTCACAACACACCATGTATGTAAATATTGAATTTTTTATAAAGAGCAAAGCAGGGAGGCAGATTGAGTTGCTCACAGAATCGTTCAGTGATCTATCTTATCTGCCATCGGCTAGGTCAGTCTCTCAAATTTGCTTGCCATGAGTCTGCACTGAATAATAAGGGAGGTTCGGCTGTGCTTAAAAGCAGAGCCGAAGACCTAAAGACTAGCTAGAAAGCAAGAAATCCAACCGTTTCCTGCTTCCTAGCTAATCTAAATCTCCCGGCATAGCGGAACAGAAGCTGGTCAAAAAAAGGAAAAATAGCAATTTAGCAGGCAAGGTTGCCAGGTAAGGCGTGAGTGTGCCGGAAGGGTTCCCGCAGGCCACGTGGGCTGCGCAGCCTTGTGTTCCTGCACAGCCTGGATTAATTGCTTTGGCAGGGTGGTCTGGGAGTGAGATTTCTCTGCGGCCCACCAAAATTTTCTCACGGCCCACTAGAAGATCTCTGAGGTCTGCCCAGCGTTTTGATTCCTCCACGCGACCGTCGGCGCTTTCTCTCCAGGAAGATGCTCTTTCTAAGACACCACCATCCCTTTAACTTCCTTCTTCCTTCTTTCTTGGGCTTTGAATACCCCCAGATCTGGAGGACATGTCCCGGATGATCTTAAGAACGCAAGGCCCAGGCCGGCTTCCCGCTGGCTACGAGATGGTTCTCCACATTCCAATTTCGGACTCCGACAAGGTCGGCGTTTTTTACCTGCAGAGTAAGTGCCTTTCCTGCTCTCCCTTTGCATGGCGAACTACATTTCTGGCTTTTTCATCCTGGTGTAAAAAGAAGCCCTCGACCAGGACCATCCAAGACCTGGGTCTCAACCCCCAAGACTCTCTTGCAGAGGTGGTCTTCAGCAGGCTTTGACCGGTTCTGGAGAACCGGTAGCAGAAATTTTGAGTAGTTCAGAGAACCGGCCAAGACCACCTCTGACTGGCCCCGCCAACCCCATCTCTTCTCTGCCTCCTATTGAGTCCTTTGGGTCTCCTTGGTTGCCCTGGACAGGAAAATGGAGCTGGAAAGCAGGTTAGTCGGGTGGGGAGGGAATGGGGATATTGCAGTATATCCTTCCCCTGCCATGCCCACCAAGCCATGCCCACAGAACCGGTAGTAACCCTTTTTTGAATCCCACCACTTCTCCGCAAAGACCGGTCTCCGTTTCCTAAGTGTAAGGCTAGAGGAAACTTATGACCATTTCTGGTTGCTGAGCAGTTCTTAAATGAATCCAGCTTTCCCCATTTGAGTTGTGGGAAGATGGCTAGGAAGGTTACCAAGGGCTCTGGGACTTTGCAATTGTTGTAAATACAACAGCAGTGTCCCAATTTTAATCACGTGACTGTGATGATCCCGCAACGGTTATCAAAGCGAGGACTGGTCGAAAGTCCCTTTTTTTCGGTCCTGTTGTAACTTTAAACGACCGCTAAATAAATGGTTATGTCAGGGACGACCCGCAGCCCACAAACGAGAGTGTGTCCGTTTCTACTTCTTGCCATAAGCAGTACATCCCACGTGAAGGTGGCGCTTTTTCCATCCTTTTAAGACGCTTTAAGAAAAAAAGTCGATCCAAGCTTCACTTTTCCTTAAACAGAACCCCAGACTGACACTGCCCACAGCTCTGGTATAGTTCGGAGCCAGCATTTTGACTTCAGGGGCCATCATGGCTTGTTCAGGGTTACGATGAATGCAAGCGTAGATCTTTGCTTCTGTCCTACAGATCCATTCTTCGGCCAGCGCTACATACACATTTTGGGGAGGAGGAAGTTGAGCCACGTGGTGAAGTACACGGGGGGATCGGCCGAACTGGAGTTCTTCGTGGAAGGACTGCGCTTCCCGGACGAGAGTTTTGACGGACTCGTCTCCGTCCACGTCAGTCTGCTGGAGCCGATGGCCGAGGTTGGTCTCTGGGCAGAAGGTGATTGGGTGCCAAGGGTGGTCACGGTGTCTCCATCCCACCTCACTCTGGAAATTAACCAGCGGAACAGCTTTGCCTCCAGAAATTGTGGAGGTTTTGAAGAAGAGTCTGGACAGTCACTTGTCTGAAATAGTATTAGGTCTCTTGCTTGAGCAGAGGGCTGGACTAGCAGACCTTCAAGGTCCCTTCCAGCTCATTCATTCTATTGAGTATTGAGTCAATCCTGCTTTCCTAGCAGAGCTGGGGCTGAAATGACCAGGTGAAAAATCACGGCTTTCAATTTAACCACTGTTTCACGCGCCCTTTTTGGCCACCTCCTTCCAACCCAAGAGTTACAACCTAGAAAACCTTGAATTACACCGTCTTCGGTCTGATCTAAGTATGGTATATAAAATCATACATTGCAATGACTTACCTGTCAAGGAATACGTCAGCTTCAACCATAACTATACAAGAGCAAACAATAAATACAAACTCAAGGTTAACCGCATCAAACTCGATTTCAGGAAATACGACTTCAGCCACAGAGCGGTCAATGTCTTGAATCCTCTACCTGACTCTGTGGTTTCTTCCCCAAACCCCCAAAACTTTAACCTTAGACTGTCTACTATTGACCTCACCCCTTTCCTAAGAGGTCTGTAAGGGGCGTGCATAAGCGCACCAACGTGCCTACCGTCCCTGTCCTATTGCTTCTTTTATTTTTCTTATATGTACCCATTTCATGTATTCATAACTATATACTTATGCCTATTATCTTGTAAGCGATAAAGTAAAGTAAAGTAAAATAAAGTAAAGTAAAGTAAAGTAAAGTAAATAATAAAATAAAATAAAATAAAATAAAATGAAATGAAATGAAATGAAATGAAATAATAAAATAAAATAAAATAAAATAAAATAAAATAAAATAAAATAAAATAATGAAATGAAATGAAATAAAATAAATAAAATAATAAAATAAAATAAAATAAAATAATAAAATAAAATAAAATAAAATAATAAAATAAAATAATAAAATAAAATAGAGTTGTTGTGATTTTACAGTTTGACTTGCCAGTCCTTTCCCCTACCGTGCCACCCCTCCTGGGCCGATGGGCACGCCTGCTTTCTCGCTGCCAAGCTGGGCCCTATACCCACCTCCAGATGATTTTAGACTCGTATCAATCAAGCCGGGGATGGAGGCTGTTTTTACATTACTGTCGGGTCGCCGTCTCGGGTTGCCGGCCTGCTTGAAATGCCACTTGGGGCTCTTTCTGGGAATCCCTGCCTAAAAATGCAAATTTGATTAGCCTAAAAATGCAAATTTCATTAGCCTAAAAATGCAAATTTCATTAGCCTAAAAATGCAAATTTCATTAGCCTTGTTCTGCCCGTTGGGCGCCTCATTTCTAGCTGCCCAGCCTCCCCCGTTTGCCCTGGGGTGACCCTCGAGAGTTTGTCCAAAAGCTTAGTCTGCCTCCACGCCCTCCCTGTTTTCGCTCCATCATCCAAATGCCGGCGGTTTTCAATTTCTTCTACCAATTAGCCAATTAATTACGCCTGCAAGATGAAATCCCGCCTGGGAGCCAATGGGCTCTTTAGTTATTCATTTGTGTTGTCTCTGTGTTTTTCTTTCTGTCAAATAACAAAAAATGTGAGTTTTTTCATATATATACATATAGATATAGAGATATAGATATAGAGATATAGATATAGAGATATAGAGATATAGATATAGATATATAGATATATATATAGATATAGATATATAGATATAGATATAGATATAGAGATATAGATATAGAGATAGAGATATAGAGATATAGATATAGATATATAGAGATATAGAGATATAGATATAGATTATAGATATAGAGATATATAGATATAGATATAGATATATAGATATATAGATATAGATATAGATATAGACATAGACATATAGATATAGATAGATATAGATATAGATATAGATATAGATATAGATATATAGATATAGAGATAGAGATAGAGATAGAGATATATAGATATATATAGAGATAGAGATATAGAGATATAGATATAGATATATAGATATAGATATATATAGATATAGACATAGACATAGACATATATAGATATAGATATGTATGATATATATAGATATATATGATCTGTTTTTCCAGGAATGCTTGATGATAGAAAGCCTCCAGTGTTGCGTTGATTTATTTATTTTGCTTTTTAAACAAATGTTCCGGCAGGGTATTCCACAGGCCCCGATCTTCACCGACACTGTTGTTTTCCGGGTCGCGCCTTGGATCATGACCCCAAACATCCTACCCCCAGTCAGCGTCTTCGTGTGCAGGTAAAGGACCGAAAGGAGCAATGGTGGAGTTCAGATTTTTGTTTACTACCGGTTCTGTTGGGCGTGGCTCGGTGGGCGTGGCAGGGGAAGGATATACTGCAAAATCTCCCATTTAACCTCCCCACCCCACTCACCTGCTTTCCAGCTCCGTTCTCCTGGGCAGGGCAACCCAAGGAGATCCAGCCGATCAGCTGGGACTCGATGGGAGGCAGAGAAGAGATGGGGTTGGCGGGGCCAGTCAGAGGCGGTATTTGCTGGTTCTCCGAATGACTCAAAATTTCCACTACCGGTTCTCCAGAACTGGTCAGAACCGGCTGAATTACCACCTCTGGAAAGGAGTATACAGAAAATGAGGTTACTGTCATTTATTTTTTTGACCCTGGCGCACATTAAAAATGAATTTCTGTTGCCTGCTCTCAAGAGAAGGTTCTCCTTGACTTAAAAGCATCCGTTTAATGGCTTTCAAAATGCATCCAAGGAAGTTGACTTACGACCAGTCCTCGCGCTTATGACCGTTGCAGCATCCTCACAGTCACATGACCGAAATTCAGGTGCTTGGCAATCAAGAATATATTTATGTGGGTTGCAGCATCCCGGATCACGTGATCGTTGATTGGCGGCTTTCCTAGCCAGCTCTGGACCAGCAAAGCAGGGAGAGCTGAATTTACTTAACGACCATGTGATTCACTTAACAACTGCAGGGATTGGCTTAGCAAACCATGCTCCCCGCCCCTCCCAAAGGTCGTAATATCAGGCATGACAATAACCGCAAAGCGATAGAAATTCTGGGCTCACTGATGGTAGAAAGTCAACTGTGTATGTCATTTGTGCATGTGTGTTTATACAGTCATTAAATTTATATACGGCCACCCACCTCAACTAAGGACCCTGAGGGGGTTAGCAAACTTAAATCCCGTCACTTGCACAACTTCTTTCTTTCTTTCTTTTTCTTTTTTCTTTCTTTTTCTTTTTCTTTCTCTCTTTCTTTTTTCTTTTTCTTTCTTTTTCTTTTTTTCTTTCTTTTTTTCTCTTCCTTCTTCCCTTCCTTTCTTCCACTTTCTTCTTTCTTTTCTTCTTCAATCTCCTTCCTTCCTTCCCTCCCTCCTTTTCTTTCTTGTTTTTTCCTTCCTTTCTTCCTCCCTTCCTCC